CTCCTCCTCCTCCTCCTCCTCCTCCTCCTCCTCCTCCTCCTCCTCTTCCTCGTCATCCTCATCGTCATCGTCATCAGGAGCAGCAGCATCATCACCAGCAGCAGCATCATCAGCTGCAGCAGCATCATCAGCATCATCATCAACAACAGCATCAGCATCAGCATCAGCATCAGCATCAGCATCAACATCATCACCATCAGCAGCAGCATCAGCATCATGAGCCTCAGCATCAGCATCATCATCAACGCCAGCATCACTTTCACCAGAATCATCAGTACCATCATCATCAACAGCATCACATCATCACAAAGATCATCTTCATAATCCTCCTCATCATCATCACCAGCAGCAGCACCATCATCATCAGCATCATCAACGTCATTATCACAAGCATCCACATCATCATCGACATCATCATCGCCATCATCAACATCAGCATCATCATCAAGAACAGCGTCATCGCCGTCAAGATCATCATCGTCATCATCATAGTCACCATCATCATCAGCAGCATCATAATCAGCATCATCACCAGCATCACCCATTCCGTTTCGCACCCCGAGGCCAGCCGAAAGGGCGGGCCAGGCGGTTCGCCTGAGATTTCTTCACAATCTATGACCATGAAGATCAAATCGTGGCAAGAACTTCACAGATGGAGGGCGGGTGGTGTCAAAATGTTGAAATCGCCTAAGCGCCGCGCACATTCGTTTTAAACGTTGCAAGAGTTGTACTAAGTGAAGGGAGTCAAAATGTGGCTCTCGCATTTCCGCCGCGCACATGTGTTTAAATTACCCGCTGACGCAACCAACCGTTTTCTAAACACATGGCCAGATGGCGGATAGATGTAGGACCGGCCACTGCGAACAAAACATGCTGAAGGACCCGCAATGCGCATGAGCCCCCAGAAGTACGCAAGGAAGCATGCAATGATAAGCAAGATAGAGACGGTGGCAGAAGCAGGCAGAGGGTTGTGAATGAGGGACATACATGTTCAGCAACAGCAACAGCGCCGAGCGCTACATACGCGGGAAAGAACAGCGCCACGCGCTCGCTCTATAGCAGAGCAGCGTGTCGCGCTGAGCGAGGCAAGCGCGCGGGATGGCATGGCGGACCAGATGCAGCTGAGGATGGGAGGCCGCGTGGGCAAAAAACAGCGTCATTCGCTGCGTGGCGCAGCGGCTCCCTACAAGCTGCGATGCGACAGCGCCGAGCGCTGCGTGACGGGACAGCGCCGCGCGCCAGGGGAACCCCTGCCATTTCGGATGCGAGTGCTGAGGGCGGCTCGCGGCACGCAAACTGCCTCTTCCTGGCCGTGTAAAGATGCAGACCATGCCAGAGGAACCTTTGGTGGAAGTCCCGATGGGTTCCGAGCAACTCCACCCCGCTGGACCAGCCAGGAGCTCACAAAATAGACAACCGATGCACAATTCACAACCACCCAAGGGACCGCGAGGCCTCGGCCGGCTGCGCGAACAACTCTACCCCGCTGGACCTTCCAAGAGCCCACGAAAGTGGCGACAATGGCGCAATTCGCAGCCCCCCAGGGAGCCGCGAGGTCTCGGCGGGGTGTGGTTACAGCTCCACTCCGCTGAGCCTTCCAGGAGCCCACGAAACAGGCGACCGATGCTCACTTCGAAGGCCACCTGGGGGCCGCGAGGTCTCGGCTGTGTGTGCGTACTGGACCTCGCAGGACCCAACGAAAGCGGCGACGGTTGCGCAATTCGAAGCCCCCCTCCAGTGGCCCGCGAGGTCTCCGCTGGGTGCGTTTACAACTCCACTTCGCTGGGCCTCCCAGGAGCCCACGAAAAGGGCAACGGCAACGGTTGCGCACTTCGCAGCCCCCAGGGAGCCGCGAGGTCTCGGCTGGGTGTGTTTACACATCCGCTCCACAGGGCCTCCACTCCGATGGGCATCCACGGAGCCCACGAAACAGGCGACGGATGCGCGGTTCGCGGCCACCCCAGGGCGCCGCAAGGTCTCGACAAGGTGTGTTTACAACTCCACTCCGCTGGGCCTCCCAGGAGCCCACGAAAGTGGCGACGGTTGCGCAGGTCGCAACCCCCTCAGGGAGCCGCGAGGTCTCGGCTGGGTGTGTTGACGAGTCCACTGCGCAGGGCCTCCCAAGAGCCCACGAACGTGGCGATAATTGCGCACGTCGCAACCACCCAGGGAGCCACGAGGTCTCGACTGGGTGTGTCTCCAGCTCCACTCCGCTGGACATCCCAGGAGCCCCGAAATTGGCGACCGATGCGCACTTCGCAGCCACCGACGGAGCCGCGAGATCTCGACTGGGTGTGTGTATCCACTCCGCTGGGCCGCCCAGGAGCCCACGAACTTGGCGACAGTTGCGCACTGCGCAGCCCCCCAGGCGAGCCGCGAAGCCTCGGCTGGGTGTAGTTACAACTCCACTCCGCTGGGCCTCCCAGGAGCCCACGAACTTGGCGACAATTGCGCAGGTCGCAACCCCCATGGGGGGCTGCGAACACTCGACTGGACATGCTTACAACTCCAACCCGCTGGGCCCCCCATAAGCCCACAAAAAAGTGGCGACCGATGCGCACTCCGCAGCCACCCAGGGAGCCGCGAGGTCTCGGCTGGATGTGGTTACAACTCCGCTCCGCTAACCCCCCAGGACCGCACGAAATTGGCGACTGTCGCGCACTTTGCAGCCCCCCAGGGAGCAACAAGGTCCCAACTGGACCCCCGTGTAACTCCACTCCGCTGGACCTCCCAGGAGCCCACGAGAGAAGCAGAGGGCAGGAGAGATGAGATATGATGCAGGAGAGAGGAGTAGGGGGACGAGGAGAGAAGGAGACTCGACCACAGTGCCCGATGTAAAGCGAGAACCGAACACATGAGGGTGTGGGAACGTTTGCAAGAGTTTCAAGGGGTTGAGGGTAGGTAGATTGCAACATGTGGATCTCGCCTTAGCGCCGCGTGCATTCGTTTTAAACACTGGCAAGGGCTTCACCGAAAGAGGACGGGTGGTTTTCAAAATGTGGCTCTCGCCATGCCGCGCGCACTCGTCTTCAAATTTTGCAAGTGAACCATGGATTGAGTGCGGCTCGGTTTCAAAATGTGGCTCTCGCCTTAGCGCCGCGCGCACTCGTCCCCCCCGCCCCAAAAAAAACGCGAGATCTACGAATCTGCATGGCTAACGTACCAGAAACGGTGATGTGGAACGATTAGGGGCTGTCAGGGCGCGACAATTGCGTTGACTCGCGACGTTG